ATATATATACCATATATATATAATGATTATATGTATATATGTACATGCATACATGTATATGGATATATGTATACAGGTATACACATGTATGTATATATGTATAGACGTAATCGTATGAAAGAATGTGTTATATATATGGGTATGTACTTATGAACAAATACATCTAAGCTAAATAATTTAGATCTGGGTATTTTTTTCTGGGATCTCAGTATACAAAAGAACAAGGACATACTCACCCCGATCCCGACGAAATCATCACTAGCAACCAGCCAAAATCTATTATATATCTTGAGCCGAGGCATTATGATCCAACAAGACTCTTATTTATTTGAAGGCAGGTGTTCACATTGGAATCAGCTTGGACGCCTGATATATCTCCAACACGCTGATGCCCCTTTTCCGTTGGGCACTAAACTGTGCAATGTTATAGCTGTCACAATACACTCAGCACATACTAATAGCAGTCTATTGTATTTAGACGCAAGACGTGCTATAAAAGGAAATAAATGCTATTAGTTGATACCAATCCCGGCTAACGGCTATTTTAACTTTTTAATAGAATCAGAAAAAAACATTCGGTGGGACATAGGGTTAAAGGGTTAGGGCCCTTAGGGGGGTCTTGGGGACTGGGGAGAACATCCATATTAACCTCCCATAAAAAAGCGGATTTTAGGAGGCTCTCACTATAGAGTATGATGAATCTCAGACCCCAAAAAGCCTACTATTGCTCACACAATACGAATATATTTAGATATAATATTATAAGCGGTATACATATAAGCGGTATACATGTGCAAGGACAAGTACGCAGCATGTGAGCTCATAAACTCACTATTCATGTACATATCTACGGAATGGTGTCAAATGTGGGCTCTTTCACAGCCAATTCGGCATCCGGACATGGCGGCAATGATTTCCAGGTACCCCCTCGCGCTATAGACGACGGCTATACGTATCTGGATCCACTTAGCCCCACTACGCTTCCCCCGTCACGCAGTACTCCTGCTAGCCTGTCCACCTCGGGCAGACATGAAAGCACTGAAGCCCCAATAGCACGCGCACAGTCACAAACGCACACACATACATATAGTGCACAGTCGCATACACACACTTACAACTCACAATCGCACACACACACACACAGTAGCGGCGCAATCACACACAGTGGTCGTCAGAGCTCACGGCCGTTACCGCAGACGCCCGGTTCAAGCGTAAACTCATCCAACGCAAGGACTAGTGCGGATCTCAAGCACAACAAGTCTTTGCCTAGTATTCAATACTCCAGCGCCAATGGCGTGTCTACCAAGAATTTCAGGGGTTATAGAGCATTCAGTCCTGTTCCCCTTCCCGTTCGCCAGGCGTCTATGCATGGCACAACAGTGCCTGGAGATGACGACACCTACACCACATTCGTAAGCCCCGAAAGTCTGAGTGCTAGCGTGGGGCGCATGAATTTGCACGGCGGTCGCGCAACGGACTCTGGGGACGACCAACTCAGTTATCGCGAATATTTTAGTCTAGCACGGCAGCCTATAGATGCACAGAATAATACCAACAATCAGCATAACAGTACCAAAGCTACATCCAAACCTAAACCAAAAATACCATCACCAGACATGGTCAACTCGGTGTACACAACCCTGGACGGGGTTGAGCACGCGAGTGTAGCGCCGCCGTCAACAAGCCTCGCCAGGCTATCACAAGTATCTGGTGCGTCTCAGACCAGTGTGAGCAGTAGTAGTAATAGTATTACCACACCTATCTCCAGAGTATCCGCACAGGCCATGCGTAGTCCTCCGCCTGTTAACGTGCGACCAACGTTACCAAGAGCCACAAGTGTTCCCGGCAATAACACACACACACAGCCAGCCAGTGAAACGTCGTCGTTCAAACCCAGGGCTGCGCCTCGCCCAGGAGTCACGGAGAGAATCAGCCCCAGCCTTAGCATACCCGAGCATGCTAGTATTAATACGCTGCCAAAACCTACAAGCACATCAAACACGTCCACCCAAGTACACACAGAGGAGGAGGCAACACCGCCTGCACGACCACCTAAGAGGCGAGACTCGACAAGTGGTAGAATCAATACTTCGCGACCAGAGTACGACAATGTACCGGCAATCCGCGGAGCTCCTGTACGGCACTCAGTGCAGCATAATACCAACTCAATATCGCATGAGAGTGAAAGTGGGTACTTGGGTGGACTACACACCGAAAGACTACATTATAGTACTAATTCGATATCGAATACCAGTGAAAGGGGGTACTGTGGTGGACCACATACCGACGATTCAGCAACTGCTTCCGGAGATTTTAGGCGATCATCCAATGGATACTATGAAATCGATGATGAAGTTATAAGCGACATAGAACGCCACTTACACAACGAGCAGCAACCGCATGACAGACGAATTTCACTGAGCAGTCAGTCAGTTTATTCACAAGACAATGTAGGGTATGATCACCCTCAAAATACCGGTGGAGCTGGGAGGTATAGTAGGTCGAGCAGTCAGTCATTTTTTTCACAGGAAAATGTAGGGTATGATCACCCTCAAAACACCGGTGGAGCTGGGAGGTATAGTAGGTCGAGCAGCCAGTCAATTTGTTCACCGGACAATGTAGGATATGACTTTCCTCAAAATACCGGTGGAACTGGGACATATAGTACTGCTGAATTTTTCGGAGATCACAGCCAGACACCCTCAGGCGTGTACGACCTACCGCAATCTGTAACAGACAATACGATGTATGCTACACCTGTTATGCCCGACGAATTTGTGCCGAGAAACGAACGATCCACATCAAGCCTGATCTCTGACCAGGGCAGCGTTCAGAGTGGAAGTGCAAGACGAGATATGGGATCCCGAACTGCGAGTGCTGTGAGTCTCGCGTCGAAGGGAAGCGTGGAGGAGTCTACGTAAGTATTATGAGATGTGAGTTTGTGTATTGGTATCTAGTTCTTATTTTTGGGTTAGAAATGCTCAGAGAGTGGATGAATTTAGGAATTCGCGGTGGATGATTCGCTTTGTCAAACGAACAACAGCGAAAGGTTAGCTTGTTCAATTCACGGTTTGGATCTAAGGAATTTTGCTCTTTTCATTCACGATTGTGATCAAAGATATCTAACTCTTTCCTGGTGACTATTTATCTGTATTGGTCGACTATTTATCTGTTGGTGTCACCAGCCTTGGCCGTGTGTCATGAATGCGTACTACAAATTGACTAGTCTATGCCTCGAATGAGTCGACGATTTCGTCTTCTCGTACCTTTTGCTCTGCCCTCTTCATTTTAAATCACTCTGTACCAGCGTTTGTATCAAAATTCGCATACTCTGGAAGGTCAAATATGCGGGTCAATTACAATGACAGTACACTCATCATACATAATCATATACAACCCCACGCCGGTGCAGATTCTTCTTGCCAATCCCTGTCAGCATGAATCACTCGGCGCGGAGAGAACATCTCAAAGCTGTTATGAATGGACAACCTCGCGGCTCGTGGTTGATACGTTTCAATTGCGAGAAGGGCCTTTACGTACTGTCTGTCAAGTATGTACAATGTCAATTAACAGCTATTCACAGTCGTTAAAATTTTATTGTAGTTACATCGTTGGTGCCATTCAATGAGTTGGGATGTTTCATCCTGCTGTATCTACATCTGCCGTCTATCTCCCCCAGAGCTTTGCTAAGATCATGCTATACATTATTCTATCGTTGTGAAACTTCAGTTTTTATCTCAGGAGCATCGCTAGATTATTTTATCCATGGGCTAGACCTCGTCATACTTATACTTTTGTTTCTCTTCTACAGGGATATCGCCAGGATACGTAATTTATGGATAGAAAATAGGAGGTGCCACTACCAATTATCCGGACGGTCGTTCAAAACACTGTATGATCTGGTGTCCCACTTTACGGAAAATCAAATAATTGACGATATTGGCTTTAGGCTGACGGAACCGATTAATGTACCGGAGATCATCTATAGAAGGCATCTACAGACGCGGGAAATCAACAACCCAAGATCAAAATAAAGTTGCACTGCAGCCATCACAAAATTGCGCCGAATATAACTGGCAAAGGGTGCATTTGCAAACAAACTCGATCTACTGGCGTCATATCTAGTTATTAATGTACCGGAGATCATCTACAGAAGGCATCTAACTTGTTGATCACACTTTGTACCGCTCTACAGACGCGGGAAATCAACAACCCAAAGATCAAAATAAAGTTGCACTGCAGCCATCACAAAATTCACGCCGAATATAACTGGCAAAGGGCGCATTTGCAAACAAACTCGATCTACTGGCGTCATATCTAGTTATTAATGTACCGGAGATCACCTATACAAGGACTAATTGCACTTTGTACCGCTCTATAGACGCGGGAAATCAACAACCCAAGATCAAAATAAAGTTGCACTGCAGCCATCACAAAATTACGCCGAATATAACTGGCAAAGGGCGCATTTGCAAACAAACTCGATCTACTGGCGTCATATCTAGTTATTGATGTACCGGAGATCATCTACAGAAGGCAACTATTTTGCTAATCACACTTTGTACCGCTATATAGACGAGTGAAATCAACAATCCTCAGATCAGAATAAAGTTGAACCCCAGCCAGCACAAAATTATGCCCTGTAACTGGCAAAGGGTGAATTTGCAAACAAACTCGATCTGCCTATGTTATCCTGCGGCTGTGTGTAAGGCCGCTTCAGTACCTGAATGACCAATTCGTACTTTGCAATTGTTGATTATCTAGTGATTCTTGATACTAAATTGTACTTTCGTTTTAGACTACAGAATAAATACAGTTGTTTGCTGAGCAATACAGAGAAATACAGGACGCCTCATATCGCATATTTATTTACTTCCCAGTAGTATTGCTATTGATATTTGCGATTGAACACACACTCTGTCCGGTGCGTACGTGATTTTATATGTACCCCTTATCTCATGACCATCTTTAAAGCCTGCGCCCTCACCCTTTTCTCGTAGTCTGCCTTGTCTTTCCTGTGGTAGCATTTTGTGGAGAATGAGAAACTATTCGCCTTCTACGGAATAAGCGCTTGAGGACGATAAATAATGTGCGTTCTAGACAGAAATTTCAAATCGGGCTGGCTACGATCACAAACACTTTAAAGAAATACTAATCGGGGATATCATCAGGAACGGCAACTTACAGAAAGCAATTATATGCGTCGGCTTGTGCGGGATCGCTGATATTCGGCTCATTGAGAAGATTCTGGATACCATTTAGGATCTGGTGGAAAGGAAAAGACGGTATAAGAGACAGCGGATTCACCAATACGCAGAGAAACGACCAAACTTTTAAAATCGGCTATCATCAAATGAGGCACCACTCACCTGCTTGAGATTAATAGCAGGTCGCCAGTCTTTTTCCGCATCAAGAATGCTCAGACACACTGTGCCAGACGGGTAGACATTGGGATGGAAAATCGGAGGGTCGAATTGGCCTGACGAGATCGGCAGATACATGTGTGTTAGTCGTACGCCATGTTTAACACAGGTGCTGCACCATTTTTAAAAACAACATGCATGTATATATACATATTTACATATATATATATATATATATATATTTATATGTATATATATATATATTAATATATATATGTATACTTATATATATATATATATATATATATGTATACATATATATATACATATATACATATAAATATATATATATATATATATATATGTACATGTGTGCGTGTATGTAGTTTTTTTTTTTGCGAAAATAGATGCAATACTTATGTACTGTAGGATTTTCAATATAAACATATACAAGTATATATATACAAATCAATCTTTTTGTATAACATAAATATGTACATACATATAAACTTCAGGACTCAATATAAACATATACGTATATACACACACACATATATATATATATATTTATATATAGATAGACAGAAAAATGTATACATCAAAGATATATACATACATATAAACTTCAGGACTCAATATAAACATATACGTATATACACACACATATATATATATATACAGAAAAATATATACATCATAGATATATACATATAAATATAACAATAAATACGAATTAAAGATGTACACATATACACACACACATATATATATATATACATATATATATATATACATATATATATATATATACATATATATATATATATATATATAATATAAATTTATAAATATACAAATATACAAATATATATATATATATGTGTGTGTGTGTTGGGCGTGATATAGCTATATATGCACTTCTGTAAAAAATGGACACTTTAAGTGCACATTCAAGGTATCCGCATGTATACGCTGCACGCTGCATACATTTTGGTGGTGCTGATGGGTAGTCTTCGGTGAATATAACATTAAGTTTGTATAATCCTCCTTCCCAAATGGTCTGAATATCGATGGCGGAAAAGTATGAATCATAATTAGTTCGTTTCATATAATAGCACCAGAATATAATTGTAAAACAATGCAATATTGACACGAAGAAGGAACGCACTGAAATGAGCGCGTAAGCTTTCACTGTCGTGAGCTGCAACTTGACGGATTCTCAGCAAACCCAAACCAAGTTGGTATTGCTTTAAACGTGACATACCCCTTTTTTTCCCGGAATCCCGCATTCCCACTTGAGTAGGTCTAATGTACCATCGGGGTGTTTTTTGGTCTTGGCGAAGAAGCCCTGGTGAACCATTGTAGTATGAGGATGGGAGTGAGATATTGATAGTAATAAAAAAACGCAGTTTCAAAGCAGTTTGCTATGTCGTCCATTACATTGGTAATCGATAGGCCTAAACCCAACTTCAGAAGCCCAAGCCAGATTTTTGACGCACGGAAACAATTTTACACGCCTAGCGATTGTTTTAAATATTGTAACTGTCGCAATAAGCGTAAAAAATGAACCTCCCATTGTGAAACTATATTTGCTATTATTCTGACATAGATTGAATTTCTTTCACCGGCTCACAAGGTGATAAAGCAATAGCTAAACCAAGGGAGACACAACGTTCCCTTAAGCACTCAAATGCGACCTGCTGTGTAGTCGGTAGCGACCGACCTGCTGCGTAGTCGGAAGCAATCAAACCTGTATCCCACAGGATTTATACACTTTTTTAATATCATATTTAGAAGTTTGTACGACTACCTCGTACAGAACTCCTCTACTGCTGTATTGAAGGTTTAAAGCATCAACAACATAGATGTACGAGGTGGAGTTCCGAAAAAATGAAGACAAATTATATGAGATCGTAGAATCTGCTAAGGTACAAATCGCATTCACTGATATACTCTTACAGCACACTGAATTTAAATTCACGTTATCGAGAGTTGGAAATCTGATTTTGCGGCCACTTTCTTTTGGATACTAACATCAAAGTATAGTCACGGATAGAAGTCGTTGGGTAAAAAGACTAAGCTATACATTGATAGATAATCTAGGGTATAAATAAGCATCTAATAAAGTCAGAGTGCAATAAAAATTCTCACGCAAACAGCATTAAATTCTAACACAGTCCTTCGCTCTTGTTAAAATTCACACAACCATCTGACAAATTGAACTGTTAAAGTGTGCCTATTCACAAGCTTATGGTGTGCTTATTCGCAAGCGTGCAAACGAACACAACTTGGATTTTTCGCAAGAACTCGTAGCGCGAGAATAGGTGTCTGTAACTTACAAAGGGATGGTCCTTGCGCCAAGCCTTCCTCTCCTCGGCAAGGCGTGACTGTGCAATTCCTGTCATGGAAACGGTTCAACCCGGAGCTGTGCTCAGCTCAACGTATGCAATTACAAGGTACACTATGCTGAGAGTATTATATTCATATTTATTCAGTGTCCTGCGCGTGGAGACAATTCTTGCGGGAACTGCCGCCCTTTAGGCTCAGGCTGCGGCTCAGCGGCTGTCATGAAAAGGGAAATATTTTTAGCGCGCAAAATGTTTAATTAATGCATATAATTGGTATAAGATCTAAAGACTAATTAATTTCGAGGGTATTAACAAATATATACATTACCCAATTGAATCATAGTAAAGAATATATAATCATTTATTGATTGACTAAACATTGTAAATATACCTACGATACGATATAAATAGGAATTTACTTAATAATAATGGAACTATATCTCAAATTCATCATATAATTGATTAAAATTTAGATCGTACTTCGTTATAAACCTTTTTATTTGATACAAATCAGCCTATTATTCTAATAATCAATAGTTTTCAAGATAAATGTATTTGAGGTGCCATATGCCAATCTGTCAATTGACACCAGCTGATATTACATTTTGGCGGTAGACTATAGGAACCCAATAAGCTTAGAATAACCTGTAAATATCAGAACTTATTAGAAGCTTCATTCATTTATGTATTTATATATTTAGTTTATTGTGAATATATCAATACTTCTTACACTCTAAAACGAGGCATACAGACCGGGTGCGAACATTTGAATACAGAAGGTGTACCGTTTGACGCTCGCTCAATACCAATGGATACAATGATAGAAGAATCAGGCCGCACTGACAATATGTTGTCAGGGACTGACGATGATAGTGCACATAGGCATAATTTCACTGAGGCCATTGAGGCACAAGACATAATTGAAAGTCTGGCGGCCATACAGCATTTATTGAGTGTGGTTGATTCAGACGTAGACGGAGAAGAATCCCCACTTTTGAAAAAGGGTATCCAGACAGAAGGAAGGGATGAAAAGTTAAACTCGCAAGTGCTCTTAAATGAAGCTAAAATGAAGACACGAAGGTTCATGACAATTATCGATGGTTACTTAGAGAGCAGTCATATGCTCGACGGTCGGTTGGAAAGTATCGCCACCTCACTCCTGCAGATAGTGCTACGATGTGGCAGTTGGCTTCACACTGCAAAATGTAGTGAGCCTTTACACAATAAGGACATCGCTCACATAAATGATAATAGTGACAATAAGGAGCAAAGATCGTTCAGCTTGAATGCAGGAAATATCCCAGGGAAACTCACAGGACAAAATACTGGAATCGTAACCAGAGTATTTCTCAATTATATATTTCAGTGCCTCAATGTGCTGATTAAGGTAAGTTGACTCGACACTCAAAACTCGATGAAAAAACCTGCCGTTTTCTGCCTGCCATATAATTTACTCGCAGATTGACCTCTTCTTTTTGTTCTCGTGATCTATGTCAAGGTAATATTTCTCGTACCCTTGTTCCTGTCATTTCAATCTTATTATACTTCAGTCTCAACATCAAGTTGGTATAATTTCATCTGGAGTGAATTGAACAACGCTGTACAACAAGAAGGGCAGGTTGATAAAATAGCGCCAGGCGTGGGGTTGTATTTTATACATATTTAACATTTGCTGAAGGTATTACTTTCTCCTATATTTGCTACACTCAGGTTCGGGGCTATAAGGTGGTAGTCAATTTCTTCACACACGATGTCGCAGACTTGCAAATTGCCATACGACTCCTGCGCGTTTGTGACGTGAAGTCGGGGAAGGATTGGGAGTCATGCTATGTACTACTCTTGTGGCTATCTCTGATAGCTTTAATCCCTTTCGATC